AGGAGGAGGAGGAGGAGGAGGAGGAGGAGGAGAAGAAGAAGAAGAAGAAGAAGAAGAAGAAGAAGAAGAAGAAGAAGAAGAAGAAGAAGAAAAAGTAAGTACTAATTTATAATCATCATTCAGAGCCACTCAGTGCCAAATTTCCCCAATAGCTACATGAAGTTTTATCTCTTTATTTTTTTGTTTACACTATTGCTTTGAATCAAGATGTGACTAAAATCAGCCATTGTTTTTGGTTGATACTGATCAAGAGCAGTGATTAGCTCTTTACCTCTTTTTCTTTACTTTGAGCACACATCCATGAGTGTTTTCTCTCCACTAAATACAAATTGTCTTTGCTCTTCATGTCCAAATTTATGCCCTTTTATTCAAAGTAATGTTCCAGTATATTCAAACCTTGTTTAACCTGGATTTTGCTACCTGGTTTCTTAAAAATGTTTAATTTTATTTTGGTACTGAGGATTGAATTCAGGGTCTTTACACACTGAAATATATCCCAAGTCATTTAATTATTTTTATTTATTTATAGTTTCTTTTTTTTTTTTCTTTTGAGACAGGGTTTTGCTAAGCCATTAAACTGCCAAGACTGGGCTTGAACTCATGATCTTCCTGCCTCAGACTCCTGGAGTGCTGGGATTATAGGTGTTGCCACCATGCCTGGATCTAAATATTTTAAGTTTGGAAGTTGAATTAATGATACAAAATCAGGCTACAGGTAATTGCACATGATTGTAATCCAAGCCCTTGGGAGTTTGAGGCAAGATGACTGCTGTGAGTTAAGACCAACCTGGGCTACACAACAAGACCCTGTCTCCAAAATAATCCGGGTTCTTACACAATAATTTTTGAAAAGTAGCTTTTCTTAAATAAGAGCCTCAGAAAAACCAAACAAGAAGTTTCTCCTCTTTACATTCACCATGTAAAGATAATTCAACAGCTTTATTAAGGTACCATTGGCACATAAAACTGTATATTAAGGGATACAACTTGATAATTTGACATATAACACAGAAATGATCATTATGGTTCGACTCTCTGACATAGGTTTCACCTCTACTATTTGTGTTTCCATTAAACATATTTAAAATAGCTTCAATTAGAACAAATTTGTGTATAAAATACTTCATTTTTCATTATAATCATGCTGCATAGTAGACCTCCAGAACATGTTCGCACTACATAGTTGAAACATTGCAAGCTCCATTTTTCCTCCTTTATTACCATCTTGACTACTCTCCATTTTGTAAAGAAGGCAGGTAACTAAGATTATTTTCTTGTGTGGGTAGTAGAGCAGGCTAGGAGGATGAGCAACATTAGTAATTGATTCTCCATTGTCTCTTTCACATCCTTCTTTATCCCTTCAGCCTGTTCTCAGTCCCTTGAAGACAGCTATGTAGCGTATGTTAGCTGTGTGCTCACCTTGTTTCTGACTTTTAAAACACTTAAGCCACTGAGAGGCAACCAGTGTCTGGGCATGGAAGAAGAGACAGGTAAGGAACACTACATCTACTGCAAGAGAAAGTAGGTAGAAATCTTGACAGATAAGTGTAAACAGATAGTTCATGAACTGTTGGGATCTGTTAGTCTCTCGGTGGTCCCCAGGGGGAAATGGTGAGTGGACATAGAAAATAAAGACAGGAGATAGCAGCTGAAGTGAGGTGGTGGACTATGCCTGGTTGGCAAAGGACCCCTGAACAACAGTAGGGGCCTTTATATATATGTTTGCAAAGTTACAAGACACAATGTTGCCTCCCAACTAATAGATGACAATGTCCAGGTAGGATACTTTTCTCATAACTAAAGTATCTTGAGTGCTTTAGGCAATGAGTCCTCATCCAGCCCTCCCACATACGATCAATGTCCATCTTTAGTGGCTCCCAGCACTGAACAAAACCCAAAAGAATGGGAAATACTTCAAAGAATCAACAACTGAGATCTCATCTTATTAAGTTTTTGCATTGCAAAAGAAATGACCAATAGAGTGAAAAGACAACCCATAGAGTGGAAAATTTTTTATCCAAATGTCCCTCCAGCAAAGATTTCTAAGTAGAACGTATAAAAAATTGAAGAAAATCATGTTCCTCAAGCTTGATGACCAAAACCAATAAAAGCGCATCAGAGATGAATACACACTTCTCAGATGACAAATTGCAAATGGTAAATAAATACATGAAAAAAATATTCCACAGCACTGGTCATTTGAGTAATGCAACTTCAAACAACACAGAGATCTAGCCTCACTGCAGAAAGAATGACAAATGCTGGAAAGGCTGTGGAGAAAAAGGAACCCTTCTCCACTGATGGTGGGAGTGCTAACTAGTACTTCTGCTGTGGAAATCAGTGTGGTGATTCTTCAAAAACCTAGGATTAGATGTCTCATTCACCCCAGCTCTTTCCTGTCTGAGTATCCCCACAGATGAATTTAAAACATCATACCATAGTTATATATATATGCAACCAAATAGCAGCATAATTTGTAATAGCCAAATCTTGGAAACAATTCAAATGCCCTTCAATAGAGGAAAGGATAAAGAAGGTACAGTGCAGGAATACTCAGACATAAAGAAGGACAAACCAGATTTCTATAGGAAAATGCATGCAACTTGGTACCATAGTACTAAGTGAAATAAATCAAACTCTCATGTATAAACTTTATATTGTTTCTCTGTTTTGAGAAAATAAAGGAGAGAGTAAATAAATTCTAAAATGTAAACAAAGAGGAGAGAAAATTACTCAATCTTAATTTTAATTACAGCTGGAGAATCAAACTAATAGCATTACCTATCTGAAAGTATAACATAGACATAAATACACCCCACCTTATAGATACCACACATGAAATCAGGTAAGAATATATAGTCAATTAGTCATGAGTGTGACATTCTAAAAGTTGAAGAAAACAAGATGGGTGTTGAAATGGATTTTCCACTCACCAAATATGGTATTCTTACCTTTTCTCCTCTCTAAAGTGCCTCTTCCAAGACATCTCCAATAGTACACAGACCCCCATCATTAATTAAGGAAGCACTGCAAAATCCTTGTATTCATCCTTGATCCCCCTTTCCATCTACTGCTGTAATAAATGTCAGTGGATCCTCTGGGTTGTGTTGTGGCTTATACGGAGAGTGTCCACCAAAGTCTAATGTGTGTGTAGGCAGTGAAGAAGATTGGACTCTGAGAGTTAGAGCTGCCTTGCCCTAAGGAGGAAACATCTGTCTCAGCAGCAGAGGTGCATTGCTTGGGCATGACTTGAAGGGTGTGTTTTCCTGCCTAGATCCTCCCTTCCTTTTCTGCCTACTGCCATGTAGTCAACAGTCTTTCTCCACTATGTCCATCTGCCACATTGTTAGTATCCTGGAACAGGCAGACCTTGGACTGTAACCATGGGTCAAAAATAAGCCTCACTTTGGGTTCCAGGTGTCAACTACTATGTCTCAGTGATGAAGAGAGGGACTACGACAGGCTGCATCTCTGGATTCATTCATACTGAATCGCTCACTGTCACACATCAGCCACTCTACTGCCCCAAGGCATCATCATTTCCAGTTTGGATTATGTCAATCCTCATGTTACTGTATGTGCTTGTTCTTGCCAACCATATGAATTATAGAGTATAGCCACAGTTATCCCTTTAAAAAGTAAGATAGCTCATGTGACTCCTCTCCTTGAGGGAATTCTCATTTCATGAGCAAAATCCCTTCCATTCCCAGCACATTCACCATTCAGAGCACACCTTTGAACTCAGTCACTACTC